GCGCCACTGCTGACAGAACCCAACCAAACTTGGTTTTTAAAAGAATAGACATGTCAGATCCAAGGTCAAGCTGGCCAGTGCATAGAATACTCCAAAACACTGATGCACCCAATAAAATGTCAATTTTCCCAGCAGTGTTGAAGGTAGAATCTGCTAAGCGTATGTTCGAAGGAATGTCCAAAATTTCTCGATTGGCCCCACGTTGGGCGCCAATTTGTTACAAATTAATTGATTGTTTGAACTTTAAGATAAGATAACCTAGGGTCGTGGAATTCAAAAAAAAATTAAGATAACGTGTAATCCATTTATGTGCAAATGAAACCACTCAAAATCCAACAAACAATAATTTTATTTGATATCTGTGTTTAACAATATAGTGACAATGCCACTATCTTCAACATGACAGTTGACAGCTTGGTTTTTCCGGTGAATCTGATACAATGGCCGAGTTCATTTTTGTCATCTTTTTCGTCGATTAGCTCCGAAATTTTGACAGGCTGGATAAACAGTTTCAATTTACAAATCACGTGCCTGTCAAAATTTTGGAGCAAATCGACGAAAAAGATTACAAAAACGAGCTCTTCAATGGGTGTTGAGGTTTCACTTCCGTGAACTGGAGCTCTTCGTGTTGTTTCCTGTATCCAGGAAGAGGATAGATTGCTGGGGTGACGTCACTCCAGCTGATCCAGACTCCAAACACTGATCTTTATGTAGAGTAGGTACCCAGAAAGGAATAAGGCAGTATCAGGTTCACCAATATTTGGAATAATAAATCTCTGAATTCTGTCAAAAAGTGAGCGTCTTGCAAAGAAAATTTAAATTGAAATTTAATATAAGACTATTGTTGTACAGACACTCCTTTCCAACAGAATCAGGTATGAACAGTTATTGTAAATTGAAAAGAAAAAAATATATTTGAATATTAAAAAAAAAAAAACAATTAAATAATTGAAAATAATGGTAAAATAATAGTAAAATTAAAATAATAATAGCAAGATTAAATTAAAATGCTCGTTATAATTGAGCAAAAGGCTGCTTTTCTGGCAGTAGCACTAGCAGGCAAAAATATGAACAAAATAAGATAAAACAATAGGAAATTAAATCTTTAGATTCTCCCCCAAATGGACAAAATTTTCCTTTCAAATTAAGATAGCAGGTAGCTACTATAGATATTACAAGATAAACCTGGGGTTGAAATTAATTAAATCCAAAATATGTCAAAATTCTTGAGATGTTCTAATTATAGCTATTTATATAACAAGTACATAAAGTAAGGCTTTATTGTACGAATAATTTTATGGCCGAGCGAGCTTGCGAGTGCGGCTATTAAATAATGAGTCAATAAAGCCTGTTTATGTAAGCGTTATATACATGATTTTATGTACGATTCTGACTGGTTTTTGTTAAAAATTAAAAAAATTGAATGAAAAAAGTAAAATTCGCGTAGGTATACCTGTTTCACTTTGGCAGGTTGTCAAGACCTGTTTCACTTTGGCAGGTTGTCAGGACCTGTTTCACCTTATCAGGTAGTCCAGGTAGGCAATAAAGTAGCACTTTATTTTACTAGTACAATAAAGTGCTACTTTATTGACGCAAAACTATTCTATAAATAGCACTTTATTGGTTAATCGGACATAAAAACTTTTTTCTGAATTTTTGACCTGTCTGGATTTCTATTAAAAAATTACACCCTTTAGTCGAAATAATAATTGACGGAGTCTAACAGAAGATGGCTATTCAGGCTTCTGCCTGAATTCAATAAAGAGTTGATAGGGATGGACACACAAATTTGGTTTTCACCGACTCTATTTAGAGCAAATGCTCCAATATTCCCACACTAACAATTGATTCTGAAAACCAGAGCAGCAGTACCTATTTAAGTCCAAAAGTCTGAATTGGAAAACGTGGCACTACCAATCGGCACTCACACAAAATGGAAGTTAGATTAAAAAAATTAAAATATAATATTTATATTTCAAGAACAGCTAAGATAAGATTTATCAGGTAAAAAATTAATAATGATATGATAATATGCGTTGATAGCAAAATATATTGAAAAATCTATAAGGGAGAATCGAAAAATACAAAGCAAAAATTATTAAAAATAAAAAGGACTCGCCTGCTAGACTACTGTCCAGAAAAATAGATCGTTTTAGAAACCAAACCCCCACAGGAAAACGATCCTGTGTTTTTTTATACTTAACTGCATTTTAACCAGTTAAACCAATCAGACGAGTACACCCAAAAGATCATATTCACTTCACAATGAAATCACAATGAAAAACCACGTGGAATAAAAGAGAATAGATAAAAATCCACCAAAATTATTTTAATTGTTTACAAATTATAAAAATTTAAATTAACGTTATGTCAATAATAAAAAAAACTGTTAATTAACTAGTTCATTAAGCCAAAAATGATTATTTTTGAATCAGATTTTAGAGAAAGACAGAAATATATCCATTTGCTAAAAGTGAGATAAATATAATTTCATTGAATGAAAATACAAATGAATGTCAAATAAAAATATCCAAGGAAAACTATCACAATTTAAAAAATAAAATAAACCCATCTGGTACTAGATGGCAGCACTGGTGAATGAATAAAAGATATTTGCATTTTACGCACATGATGGCAGCACTTGTATTATTTTGAACTTTGTGGATATTTTAGATTATTTCGCTGATTCTGAAATGGAAAAAATACGAGTTTATAATGAAAATAAGAAGAGATGGAACATGTTACGTAAATGATAAATTTATCGTAACAAATTGTAGGATTAATTAATTCAAGAAACCTGTACCTGTTCTAACCACTCCAGTATTTTTGTGCCTTGTACGAGGTTGTACAGGTCTTTTACTGGGTGATGTTTCATTATTGTTTCTGGGTCTACTACTAACTTCCAGAATAAATTAGTATATGGACTTTGGAGTTTCATTAGTCTATGAACTTTGGAGTTAAACTTTGGTGTTAACACATACACCTCTTTAAATAACAACAACGAATGAAACTATTTTGAACTTTTATAATTTGAAATCAAACACCGTATTAATCGCACTACTGTCGTCCTTCTTAGTCAGAAAAATAATATGGCGGAGACCTGCGCTGACTTCAATAAATAGGCCAAGGACTACTCGGTGATGTAGGCTTCAATAGTTATTTAATTTTTACATTTGAAAAAGGGCTTACAAATAATAAAGTTATGATTCTAAACATTTGGAGTTTCATCTGCAGAACCTGCAGAATCTACATTCTTCCGATTACTGTGGTGGGCAAAGTTAATCGAAAAGTTAACTTCGTTAATAATTGTTAATCAAAGACACATCCCAACTACACGATCTCATAAGAATTATTTGGAAGAACGAGAAGATCCCAGAATACTGGAAAGAAAACATAATAATCTCTTTCCTTACACAAAAAAGGAAGCAAATTGATATGCAAAAGTTATAAGAGAATATTGCACATAAACGTAGCATACAAAGTTATACAAATATCGAGAATAACCCCATTCACAGAGACACAGGACAGTCGCTTTTTCTCTGAGCAAATAACGCCTGTGAGAAAATAACAAATTAATATGCATATTTCTAGATTTCTCCTAGCTACAATCCTGTGTTTATTCATTCGCCAATAAGTTTTTCCAAAAGCTAATCCCCTCAATAACGACCATCAGAGATGTTTAATGCCTCGACTAAATGGTAAATAACGTCAACCATTCAAAAAATTTATCGCTACTAGAAATGCAGGCTTTTTTTGAGGCGGAACTTTAACTCAACCATAAAATATCGACAGTTTTAATAAAGTTATATAGCGCAATTGAAGCTGGTTAGTAGGTACACTATATCCATTAAGCTCAAGTTTTCCGCTAGATAAAATTTTATTTTCCGTTTGTAGCAGCTTTTTTATGTAGTACGTACAACGCATTAAATTCACGTCTCAGCTATAAAACAATCTTAAGATTTGTAGTTATGAAATTTATATAAAAATACCTGTACGATTTCTGAATAAAGTTAACTTCGAAATCCGGTTCTTGTGTCAACATTGTTATTCCTATAACAAGCGCAATTTACGTCGCTGGCCATCCTGAAGGGTCTCTCCGGAGTTGTTTGAGGTTGTTTCCAAGTTTTTCTTTTATACCGACTGTCCGAACTTTACGATGTTTGAAAACTCGTGACCCAAATGACTGTGAAAATAGAATTAAGTCATAGATGGAAGATATAACATATCATCTGAACTTTTTCAAAGTTAGTTATTAATTGTTTACGCAAATGACCAATTATTGGATTAGTACGCAGTCAAAGCCTCAATTACAAAATGCTATCGCGTACCTCTAGTCGATTGTTCATTTTCCGCGATTCATTTCGCTTTAATTGGCTCATTTCGAACAATTTGGTTAATTTATTCTCGGATTCGCAACGCAACAACATGCTGAATTCTAATTTTGCCTTATAATACCGTGAATTTATTATTTTAAAACAAAAATCCCACTAAATCACGAGGAAAATATTGAATTAAGAAATTTGGGATTTTAAATCAAGGAAATTTTTCATCTCTACACTTAGAATTCGGTCACGTAGCCTTTGAAATTCGACCCTAATCCCTCGCTACTTTCAAATACTTAATCCTATATCGAGATGAAAAGGAATTTGCAATTTATTTATAGCCCGGATAATAAATTCTGATTTTTTTGCACGCGAGAATATTTTACTATCTAAATCTCGACAAGCTAAACTCCTTATCACTGGTTCGTAGTAAAACGTGCCGGAGCTATATTTTACAAAAATTCCCTCGCACACATCCAGTAATATATATGACAGAGGGTGGAAATAGGGAACATCTTAAAGTGCATATGGTTTATGATATATGCGGCTAATCTTATCTGAGATAAAATAGGATTTTCAACTGTGTACCTTATACTTATATGTTATGAAAAAACTTCAGTATACTTATGTGAAGTTTGTTGTTTGAATTATAGTTGTTGTTAAAAAAGCCTCAAATATATTTTTTTTTTGTTTCAGATTACCATTATCTCAACCATGATTTTCCTATGGTTTTTAGGAATTCTGAGCCTAACTTCAGGTGAGCTATTTATAATTTATACCCAGAAAATAAACAGTCTCATTTATTATTCGATTTTGTAACTCCAAAGTTTACAAGTTGTTTGGCAGTTGCTGGTTAAATGTTATATGCTAATGAAGTAACTGAATAAGCAATACAAAATGGAACGGTCTGGTAGGTTTTGAGTTTTGTGTTGATGAGTATATTTACATAAGCGAATATTAAAAATAATTTTGCATCAAATTCCCTATACAATTTACAATTGATTAATAAAAGCGTAGAATTCAATGGGGATTATTTTTATTTAATTGGTTTTATTAAAATTAAAGTAATAATGGTCTTTGTACATAATTAAATTATACAAGTTTTGTATTTATTGTAAAATTTTAACTAATAATCATTAAAGATTTACTTTGCGAAAAATTTAATTGGAAAAGTTCAAGTTTCAAGCGACTTTAAATAATTATTATGGGTATTAATTAATTTTCTCTTTTAAGCCAAAATTTGAAATGTTAAAATTTTGAGCCATTTATTCTAAAAATATTTTGCTATTATGTGAGAGTTTGCAAATTGAAAAAGACATTTATAGCCTCAAAACCGCCGAGGCGAAACTTTCAAGTGGGTAAATATGAATTTTGAATGATGTACTCAAGTATGAGGACGTAATTTTATGTGCAACACAAACATTATTGTTTTATTTTGCATTTTTCATTTCAAACTTGTATTTTGTATTTTGTTTATTTGAATTTAAGCACTATAATTTCTAGAATTCGTAATAATATCAAAAGGAATTATATTATGTAGTACAGGTACTTATTTTTGGGCCAATGGGTAATGGAAAACCTCATGTAATATTTAAATAAAACTCCAATACTTCTCAATAATTTATTGATTCAACTTTTAAGGATTGAATTGACAACTTTTACTGATTATACAACTCACTGTACAGGGTTATTTTTTATATTTTTCCACTCCTCTTAACTTTTTTGTGCCACCGTGTATAAAAAAAATGTAAATAGTAAAGTTGTAGTGCTTGAAAAATAGTTCTCAGAAAACATAGTTTTGTTCATACAAGGTGTTGCAAAAAGTTTGAAAAACAAAAAAATATATATTTTTAAATGAGACACCCTGTATATTATGACATTTCTGGATTCTGCGGAAAATTCTAGACATATTCCATGTATAATGTCATATACATATCTTGAACTGTTTCGGAAATAATGACAGTAGAAATTTGACTTTTTTGCAACTTTGATAGGCTGTAAAACCTAAACTGTTAAATTTACAGCAAAACCTCACTTTCCTCTTTCAAAATTTTCCCGTAGCCAGTTTTCCAGAAAAAAATTAAAATATAAGAGGGTGAATCTTCCTTAATTTTGCCTAAAAAAGTCAATTTTCTTTGAATTTTTCCTGGAGTGACTTTTCACTGTAAAATTTTGAAATTTCCGTTAAATGAGCTCCTCATTTTCCTCTTATTCCTAAAAAATTTTCAAAATTTTCACTTTGCCAGTTTTCCAGAAAAAAAATCAATATGTAAGAGGGTGAATTTTCCTCAATTTTACTTGAAAAAGTCAATTTTTCAGAATTTTTCATGGAGTGGTTTTTCACTGGAAATTTTTTAAATTTTCCTATTATGAGCTCCTCACTTTTCTTTTTCTTTTGGAAAAATTTCATAATTTTTGCTTTGCCAGTTTTCCAGAAAAAAATTGAAATGTGAAAGGATGAATTTTGCTTAAAAAAGTCATTTTTCCAGAACTTTCCTCTCGACTTTCCTTGAAGTGATTTTTCACTAGAAAATTTTGAAATTTTCCTATAATGAGCTCTTCATTTTCTTCTTTCTCCTGGAAAAATTTCACAAGTTTTCCTCTATTAGTTTTCCAGAAATAAATTGAAATGTGAGAGGATGAGTTTTTTTTAATTTTACTTGAAAAAGTAATTTTTTCAGAATTTTTCCTAGAGCGATTTTCTATTGGAAAATTTTGAAATTTTCTTATAATGAGCTCCTGACTTTCCTTTTTTTCCTCTTTTGCAGGTTCTCCAGAAAAAAGTTAAAATATGAGAGGATGAATTTTCCTTAATTTTACTTGAAAAAGTCAATTTTCCAGAATTTTCCCTGGAGTGATTTCTCACTGGAAAATTTCGAAATTTCCCTATAATAAGCACCTCACCTTCTTTTTCTTGGAAAATTTTCAAAATTTTCCCTGTGCCAGTTTTCCAGAAAAAAATTAAAATGTAAGATGGTGAACTTTCCTTAATTTTGCCTAAATAAGTCAATTTTCTTTGAATTTTTCCTGAAGTGATTTTTCACTGGAAAATTTCGAAATTTCCCTATAATGAGCTCCTCACTTTTCTCTTTTTCCTGGAAAATGTTGAAAATTTTCCCTTTGCCAGTTTTCCAAAAAAAAAATAAATAAATATGAAAGGGTGAATTTTCTTTAATTTTGCTTAAATAACTCAAATTTCCAGATTTTTTTCTGGAGTCATTTTTCACTAGAAAATTTTTAAATTTTCTTATATTGAGCTCATCACTTTTCACTTTCTTCTGGAAAAATTCCACAATTTTTGCTTTGCCAGTTTTCCAGAAAAAAATTGAAATGTGAAAGCACGAATTTTGCTTAGAAAAGTCAATTTTCCAGAACTCTCCTCTCGACTTTCCTTGAAGTGATTTTTCACTAGAAAATTTTGAAATTTTCCTATAATAAGCTCTTCATTTTCTTCTTTCTCCTGGAAAAATTTCACAAGTTTTGCTTTATCAGTTTTCCAGAAATAAATTGAAATGTGAGAGGATGAGTTTTCCTTAATTTTTTTTTATTTGCTTAAATAAGTCATTTTTTCAGAATTTTTCCTGGAGCGATTTTCCATTGGAAAATTTTGAAACTTTCTTATAATGAGCTCTTGACTTTCCTCTTTTTCCTCTTTTGCCAGTTTTCCAGAAAAAAATTGAAATGTGAGAGGATGAATTTTCCTTAATAAAGTCAATTTTCCAGAATTTTTCCTGGAATGATTTCTCACTGGAAAATTTCGAAATTTCCCTATAATGAGCTCCTCACTTTCCTCTTTTTCCTGTAAAATTTTCAAAGTGTTCTCTTTGCCAGTTTTCCAGAAAAAAATTAAAATCTAAGAGGGTGAATTTTCCTTAAATAAGTCAATTTTCCAGAATTTTTTATGGAGTGATTTTTCATTGGAAAATTTTAAAATTTTGCGATAATGAGCTCTTTACTTTCCTCTTTTTTCTGGAAAATTTTCACAATTTTTTTCGACCTTCATTTTCAAGACATTTTCTTTTGTAATGCCCCATTTTTCCACATTTAAAACAGCTACGTTGTAACATGAAAGCTGTTGGAGTAGCCTTCTCATTTTCTTTTATACTTTGTCTCTCACTTTGTAAATTTACCTGTCTTTTTTCATTTTCTACAAGGAATTTATTTTTTACAATTGATACCTGGTAAATTTTCTACCACTGTAACAATAATGTATATTATATGAACTAGGTGAACTTCATTGAAAATTACATATTAAATCTTCATCTGTAATTTTCATGTTTGCTGATTTTAACTGTCTTACTATGCTATCAAATTCCTCAATAAACTTGGGTGGACATCCATTTTCTTTCAACTTCATGCTCAGTAGTTTCCTTTTCAAAAACAACTGTCCTGGTAACCCCTTCTTTTCGTATTTATTTCCCAGTACTTTCCACATTTGGTAGGTAGTTTTACATTCACGTTAAGTTTCTATTTCTGAATATTCTATGCACTGAACCAAAAGTGATTTCGCTTTGTTATCGTTTTTCTTTGCTGCGTTATCTTCTAGAGTTACCTCATTTTCTACAAAAGCTAATACATCATATTCTGCTAATATTAATTCAACCCTAAATTTCCATACGTGTGATAATTATTATGTTCAGTCAATGGTTCTATAGTTATTTTTTTCTCCATTTTACAATATTTCTTCTGTGGACACCTTTCAAAATTTGTGAATCGACTTTTTTTAAAATATATTTATACTCTACCGCATATGCACACCATTCCCCTTATTCTGGGCCCATAACCTCGTGTAATATTTGAAGGAGAACCACTGAAACTCCAATACTTCTTTTACTGAAAAGTCAAACTTATCACATTTTTTCTGGTGTCGCAATCTAGGTAATCTATACTTGATCTATACCTTTATAAACTGAACAATTACAAGATTATAGAATATATGATTTAAGCTCGGATTTTAGTCATAGTCATAAAACCGAAATCTTAACAAAACCTGCATCAGGCATTCTTGGATGGACAAAACTGCCACCTTTGTACCAGTGGCGTAATTACTAATTTAGAGAGTCTCAAATAATTATATAAAGACAAAATCTCAACAATTTGAAATTTCAATGATTCCTCACAAAACAAAACAAAAATTCCCATCAAAGATTTATACACAATCGTATATCATTATTACACCCGCCAGGAAATCCCCCGAAAAGCGATTTCCTAAATCACTTCCGGTCAAAGACAGGTTCGATATTGTCGGACACGATCGTCTTTTTGTATAGTGAGTTCGGATAATTACCAAACTGGACACGATTAATTGAATTGGTCCTATCGATCGGGATATGAAGCAAATTTCAACGCCCAAGTATCAATTTATGCCAGAATCCAGGATAATTTGCAAACATTTCCTTCGATTGTAATCCATTGTCTGATTGAAAATGACACGTGCTCAGCTATATTCAGGGAGGACCAAATGAATAACATTTCTCTGTGTATCGATTTACACATTTGCATGCCAAAAATTTATCAAGGAAAATCATCATATTTTTATATGAATTATTTAACAGTCGTTCTGAACCTCAACCATCTAGTATTACCAATTCGGGTGTTTCAATTTGCATGACATTTCACAGCCGGAAGTTGCCGGAAGTTACTGTGCGAACTCTAATCTCGATTCCAACAAGTTTTGAACTCCAAACTTACAAAATCGAATGATAAATTAGACTTTGAAAAGTGAGTTCATAGTTTGTTCGCAATTGAACATGACGT